ATCCGCCCTAGGCTACCTACGTTGCCTGTTCGGTAAATCCGGCTCTGGCGGTACGAATTATTGCAAATATGTATAACCATTTAAATTTTGTTTGACACTTGTTGTTTTTGTTTTATTTTTTTGTTATGCAAAAAGTATTGCTTTAGGGCGGTTTATAAAATAATTTTTAGTGCAACACTATAAATAAATAAATTTATTAGTTGTGCCTGCAATTTTTCTTTTTATTTTATTGGAAAAAGTTCGCGCTCACCCGTTGGAAGAAAAACGTAATTTGCACCAGGGCCGTTCCTGGCGAGCGTGCAGTGCGTGCACGCACGCAGGCGCAACATTTTCGTCGACCACATTAAGGCCCTATAGGGCTCTTTCTTTCGGCCGCTATAAAGCGCCTCTTATTGGCGGCTTAATTTTTTTATATGAGTATTAAAATAAAAGGAAAGAAATTGTCATAATATTTTTAGTATTTGTTTGATAGTTGCAGTTGACGGTTGCAAAGTTGTCTACACAAAGCATGACTTGGTAACGAGCTTACTCTCTAAAAATGAATAATAATTATCGTCAACAGCAATTTGTATCCCTGACATTTAGCAGTCAACTCCTATGTAAAATTGTCAGCTAAATCCGAAAATGTAATGTTATAAAACTTGAACAGCTTTTGAGATATAGTCAATTTTTCATTTAATATGGAATTAGATATATTTTAAAAAGTGCTTTACTTTCATAATTTTTGAAGGTTTTTTCGGATTCAGGGGACAATTTACATAATAATAAGCTGTCAAATGTCTGGGATACAAATTGCTGTGGACTACAGTTATTAGTGACTGGTTTTTCAGTTTGAAAACTAGTAATTTTTGACTAATTCGTTTTTAAAGAGTACGTCACTAAAAACCACTTGTGGTTATTATATTGTTTATATATTTTTTTGTTTTCTTTAGAGTATTTTTGTTACTAATTATTTTTTGTTATTTTGTTTGTTTGCAAACCATGGTAATTTAATAAGCAGTTTTTTACATTTTCAATTACATAATGCCAGTTTGTCGCAAAATATATATTTTTTAAATTTTAGGGCTTTAAATTCGAACATTTAATATACCTACAAGGTGTCCCTAAACTTATTGGCATAAATTTAGGAAAAGATTGAGCCAGTCAAAATAAGATGAAAACCTAAATAAATATTTTTCCTAATTACTTATGTTTCCAAGATACAGGGTGATAAAGTGTTACCTATCATATCAGTTTTTTTTTAATATAACTTCTTCTTGGAAACGTGATATTTTGCGAACAGACACTTACTACCAAAACACATATTCACACATAATTACAATTGTTTGAGTGAACACAGTGTCGTAGAAACGGGGGTTGTTTTGAGCTTATTGTCCCATACAAACTTTGAGGTTAGGTTTTTATAACATTTGATACAATTTTTCGATTACACAGTTCGGCTACCATTAAAAAAGTGTACCTCTCAAACTTCGATAAAATAAACCGTTTCGAGATTACAATAATTGTTATATCGCATTATTTAAAAGGATTAAAGGGTATATGATAACAAATTTTATTTTTTAATTGAAAAAACTAAAAAAGGCATTCCATGAGCCTCGAGATTTTTTGCCCTGACCGTCACATTAAAAAAAATTGTAGTTTTTTCAATTAAAAAAATTGTTATCATATACCTTTTTAGTCCGTTAATGGGATATAACAATTATTGTAATCTCGAATATCTCGGAAACGGTTTATTAAATAAACTTTATTTTATCGAAGTTTGAGAGGTACAACTTTTTAATAGTAGCCGAACTGTAAATTATGTATAAATATGTGTTTTGGTAGTAAGTGACTGTTCGCAAAATATCACCTTTCCAAGTCTACCATAGTGGAAGTTATATTAAAAAAACTGTTATGATAAGTAACACTTTATCACCCTGTATCTTTTAAACATACCTAATTAGAAAACATATTTATTTAGATTTTCGTCTTATTCTGACTTGCCTAATCTGCTTCTAAATTTATGCCACTAAGTTTAGGGACACCTTGTATTATATTTAAATATAAAAGAAGCGCACCAAAGAATGCTGCACGTAGGCGCGAGAAAGGTACCCAGACAACCCTATTTGCAGAAAATATCTACGAAATTAGTGACCAAGTTTCAAAAAACTGGAAGACCGAGTAGGCTGAACGAATCGGGTAGAAAGTCAATCTCAGAAGACAAACACTCCAGTTCTAACGAACAATTTACGAATCAGAATAAAGTAAGACGAACAATAAGTTGCAGACGCTAAAATCAGTTGCACTTGTTGATGCGTATTGTTGTGCTGAAGCTGGATGGTTGACGATAAAAAAATCAGTGGGAAATGTTTTGATTGGCTGCCTTAAATCACGTGTAGGTACTTTTTTAACGAAATAATTTGTTAAACATTAATAAAATAATCTGTAACCTGAAAATTAACAAATTGCTAACAAAATTGGATACGTACCTACCTAGTAGGTACTACCTTCCTTTACAAAATGTTCGGTAAAATGTTTTTCTTTGTTAAAATAATTGCAATCCCTGGTTTTATATAAAGAATTATGTTAAAATTTTACAAAATAAAAGTATCAAACTACAAACTGATGTTATCAAATCTGATTTTTATATAATTGTATAGGTAAAAATTATTACATTTTTGAATTTTAGATAAAATTCTGAAGAAATTGTGTTTGAATCGTTTGATTGGAGATAGGACTTTAATTGTTTTTGAGATATTTTGACAAATGGAGTGCAACTAAAATGTCTGTATTACCAACCATGGGCGCCGTTGAAGGGGAAGTGGGGCAGTCGCCCCCCTGTACAATTAAAATACCGCGCATTTAAATATTTAAATTATTGAAATTGCACGTAATTTTTTTTGCTTCACCCTGGAAGCATTTTATTCAATGGATGATTTTTATTATTATTATTATTATTATTATTATTATTATTATTATTATTATTATTATTATTATTATTATTATTATTATTATTATTATTATTATTATTATTATTATTATTATTATTATTATTATTATTATTATTATTATTATTATTATTATTATTATTATTATTATTATTATTATTATTATTATTATTATTATTGTTATTATTATTATTATTATTATTAACAAAGGAGTCTCCTACAGGAGAGCCTTTAATATTATTCCAAAATGTTAGACATGGTATTTGGTATTTCCGTTAACTTTTTCCCAATTTAAATACAAATTACTTTCTTATTTCAAATGCAACGACCATACAATTTAGCATTAGCATTGCATACATTATGGCTGAAATGAATATTTACAGAGATATTACCAAAAATGTAAAATAAATTCATTCACCTCGTGTGAGTTGTCACAAGTGTGCTATACGCTAAAGAAGTATCGATAGTAGCGCCACCACTCGGCTGTTATCATCGTAACAAAAGTACGACTTTAAATAATCAGCTGTCAAACGCTTAAGTTACAAACGAGTGTTTTTGAGAATAAAGCCGGAAAATTTTAAAAAATATCGTAAAAAAAATCGTGGCTCGATTTGTTGTTTTGTTAGGTGTATTTCGAGAGGAAATCCTGGGTTGAGTTTTTACCGGTTTTCCAATAAACAGTGTTAATCTAAATGAAGAAATAAATTGCATACAGTCTCTGTAAATATAAATTGTACCTATTAGAAACAATAAATACACATTTTAGTAGTGATTAACGTGAAAAGTGTAAACATTTCAATTCAGTAAAAATCGTCAAACAAATAAGTCCTCTTATTTTAAACAGCATTTAGCATTATTAAAAGTGTTGATTAAGAAAGTATCCACTCAACGGTAAAATACCATTATATTATGTATTATATTATGTATATTATGTTGCCATGAATTCGTAGAAATATTTTGTAAAATGCAGTTGTCGGTGTTTTTTAGAGAACTCAAATATAAAAATGATTAATTTTAAGGTTATGTTTGTGCAAAAAATATTTTTTTCCAATTTATTAAAAATGTTCAAACTTAAATACCTATAAATTATATTAGGTAAAGTTATCATTAGTTAATTCTGCACCAACAAAATTTGTTGAACAAATGTACTTACCGAATTGGATCATTTGGCAAAACATGAAAATGCAACGATTTAGTTCTTGAATTTTATTTACAATGATCCCTTAGATAAAATGCACACATTAATCCAACTATATAAGCATTTAAGCGTTGAGTTTCTTAATCAATGATATAAGGAATAATCAATCGAAATCGAGTACTAAAAACTAAAAAGGTTTTTTAATTTTTTCCTTGCAACGTAAAACACAAATAACGTGCGCGATTTAGCTGTGCAATTGAACAAATTTTGTCGAGTAAGACTTCTGCATTCCTTTTTTTTTTGTGAAAAACTATCTATTTATTTAAAAATTATGTATAATCTGTGCTTTAATATATACCTACATATTAATAATATATACATAATTCTACTTCAGCGGTCATATTAAGAAAATCACCATTAGTGTAACAATTATTATTCTTTTAGACAATAAGACAATTACGTATTGTTTTTTAATTTTTTCCTTGCAACGTAAAACACAAATAACGTGCGCGATTTAGCTGTGCAATTGAACAAATTTTGTCGAGTAAGACTTCTGCCTTCCTTTTTTTTTGTGAAAAACTATCTATTTATTTAAAAATTATGTATAATCTGTGCTTTAATATATACATATTAATAATATATACATAATTCTACTTCAGCGGTCATATTAAGAAAATCACCATTAGTGTAACAATTATTATTCTTTTAGACAATAAGACAATTACTTATCTGTTCAACCAGAATGAATGAGTTGGGTGAATCACCCTGTATACATATGTATAAGAATATTAAAAAATAAAATATGTAACAAAATATGTAATTTATTTAAAATAGGTATATATATAAATATTAAATTAATATCACATTTTTAATAGCTTAGCAATCAGTGCACAATAAATAAAAATAAATAATTAAATACTATAAAATTAAAAATATCACAAAATATCCATTTGGCAGTCGGGTTGTATATTAACTCCATTTTCTACAACTTTATCACAACCACATGCAGTTGCATTACGAGCATCTCTGCTGATATATGTCATTGTATTATTGTTAAAAAGTAATCTAAAATACAATGTTACATTCTTAGTTTCTGTTGGTCTGCACATCTCGCCGGATTCACAACTTCCGTTACAATTGCATTCATACAAAACTGCGTATTCTGGTGATATGTTTACCTGAAACAAATATTAGGTATGTTATTATTATTATTATTATTATTAATTCAGATGGTTAAGACTTGAGATGTTAAATAAGTTTTTTTAATAAAAACTAAAATTCCCCATTACAACTTGACTATTTATATATTTATACTTACATTTGTTTCATCCTTTAATATGGTTGAGGATTTGACCAATCGCGGCTTAGGAATACTGCATTTAAAACTTCTCACATAACCAGAATGTTTTCTAAATTGTCCATACTCCTTCGTAAAAGGAACGCAGAAACAACCGCAAATCCAAATAGTTAATCCGAAATACACTAAAGTGGTATTCATAGCCATAATATTTTTTATTAATTTATCTAGAGAATTATTTTATTTGTGGGTTTTGATAGTGCTTAAAGCAAGTTTACATATAAAGTGGTTAAATGCATAACTTATCCACTATAAATAAGTGAATTTTTTAATAATTCATACACGCAGAAGGTTTACGCGTTTGCGGTTAAAAAATACCTATAATCCAAAGATTATGATTTGTTTAAATATTTTATACAAATTAGATATGAAAAATAACATAAGTTTAAGATTTTTTTTGTTAAAATATACCTAGAGCATTTTTTATTTTGTGTTAAATTCGTCATATGAATATTACAGAATGATGCAACGCAGTTAATAATAAAATTGCTCGAAAGGCCACATATCTAAACCATTTGGGAAAAAGTAGATGCAAATTGCGAAATTTTATTAGTTGAATCGTTTTGGTGAGAGCATCGAATTATTTTCGCTGGAATTATTAAATGGTGGTCATAATGCCTATAGTTACAAAAACTCAGTAATACTTTTACTGCATGTTAGTTGTAACAAAGAAAAATTCACTTGATAAAAAAATATCATAATTCTACTTAGACCTGTTTAGTTGTTAGGAATAAAATAGTGATTTCTTATAATGAATATTTTGTGTGTTTTGGAAAGGTATTTTCTTAATTCTTTCAGTTGACAAATTCGCTATGAAATCAAACAGTATTGTTGCATCAACAACCTAATTAGTTGGCACAACAAAACAGAATTGCTGCCTATCATGTCCATATATGGGCAGTGTTGCCATCTTGGAGAATTTTTCACCATTTCTGGTGATTTTTTGTTCTTGGTCGAGAGTTTTCAAGTTAGATAGCGACAAGTCTCAAACCTGGAGAATTTAAAGATGCATCGGAGAGTTTTTAGCGAATTTTTAATAATTAGAATACAGAATAAAAAATATTGAAAGTTTTGGTTGGGTGCATTGTACTAGTGATTTTTTAATTAAATTGGTTACCCTGCAAGAATTTACAGGTCGGACCTTTGCATAAAAAGCTCCATCCACATATTTAAAAAATATGTGACTCCATCATCCATTAAAGTTATTAATCTATGCCACCATCAGAACAGAAGACACTATTAGTGTAATCACAGAACATAAAGTGTAATATGTATTACATATCATGTATAAGATACAGAGGTATATTAGTACTATCTAAATCCTTCTACAGTTCATCCTAAAATGTGCCCGTCAAACTTTGTATATAGAAAAATAGACTTATTTTGATCTGTACCTACCTACCTGCCGTTAGCAAAGTTTGGCCAGCTACTTTTAGGACATCTTGTATAGCTTTAAAAATATTTTTTTGTTATTTCGATGTTAAACGAAAATGTTTATTATATAAAAAGGCATTAAAGCCTCAAATTACAAAGTTGTTTTTTTTTATTTATTTTTAACTAAACTGTTTTATTTTTTTGCATTTTGTGTCCATACAAACCTCTTTGTTTTTGCCTATTAAAAGTATTGGAGATTTTTTGTCAAAATTGGAGAATTCTGGTGAATTTTTGTTTAGGTTTTTGAAAATTTTCACATTTTACTGTTGGCAACACTGTATATGGGGGCATACACGGGCAGTTTTCGCCAATTTCACAAGGGCGAAGACAAGTGCATATGTAGTGCAAGTGCATGAGTTTTATGGAAAAAGTTTTATGTGTACATATTATTACTGTGTTTCAAAGGTAAATATGATAACACGTATTTTGTTTAATAATAATGCTCATATTTATAACATTGTATGTATAAAGAGTTAGGTTATTTCCAATTGTTGAAAACTAGTTTTTAAAATTAATTGGTACTTAGACAATTAAATCTCGTCTAAGACTGGGTTTATTGCATGTACAATGGTGCAATTGTTGGCCAGTCGAGAATTAGTGGCCCTATTTTGAAAAATAGTAAATGATCGAACCGAAAGCCTTCCAAATTTACGCCATTTTAAACAAAAATGTTTAAAAGATACATACATTGTTAAATTTGAAGATTAATAAAGCAATAAAAGTTTGTTTTAAAAAAAAATATATAAAATATTATACATATTTTGTAAAATACCAGTATTAGTTTGATACATACATCGTACAAAATTGTAAGTGATATCATGTCATAGTCATTAGTGATGTTATAATAATTATTAGAGTAAAGACTTAACTGTTTTAAACTTAAACTGCTGTAAGTATTTATGTTTAGTTTTAGACTTTTTAAATAAAATTTATTTAAATATGAAAAAAGTCTTATTTTTCCTACGTGTAGTTATTAGTAATGTAAAAATTACACTGACAAGAGGTAAAATACATTAAATTCTTGCAAGAGTAGAAGTAGTTTTATTTGTGGTAAGTATTACATTTTTTTGTTATCTTAACTTAGAGGTTGATCTTCCTCAATTTTTTTTCATTTTCGTTTCATAAATCTATGAGCTATTGAAACGATTTATGCTTGTTGTCATGACAGTTTTGTAGACTCGGTTTACTAAAATTATTCATAGTTGCAAGAATTATTGAGTTGCAGTATGGTATATGTATGATTTATTTTAAGGAATATAAAAAATTTTGTTAGTCATTCTTATCCTTTTTTATTAGCTCTCCCTACTTTTTTTTAGAAAATAAGTTACAAGCACTAAAAATTAGTTCTCATAACCAACCTATTTTTAAGAGTGTGATCCTCATACTCTCCTCCTTATAAGGAGGAGAGTATGAGGATCACACTCTTAAAAATATGGGGAACAGGGGGTAACTTAAAATTTCTAACGGAACCCCCTAATTTATATTGCAGATTCGGATCATTCGACTAAAAATAGGTAGATTTTATCTAAAACATTTTTTCATATTTGTAGTAGATGGTGCTGTAAAAAAAATCAATTTTGTTCGATTTTTCTTCTGTATACAATTCTGCAATAATTTTTCTATAAAAATATCACTTTTTTGGTAATAATTATCTTATTTAGTTTTCTTTGGTTTAAGTTTTATACATTATTTCATTCGGTGATAATTATCAATTGCGCACCATGGTCACTGTTTACCTTTCCAGCATCCAGGATTATTATACTATTTTTAATAAAAATACCTTATTTAAGGTAAAAAAAACAATATTTTGTCAATTAATTAATTTAATCCTAATTGAGGTATAAAAAATGGTATTTAGTTATAATAATTATTATTAAGGTATAAAGAAACTATTTATAGTGTGATGGTGATGAATAGTGCTACACAGGCGATAGGTATACCTTGGTATACCCTGGTATACATATAAAACATCGAAAGCATATATGCTTTCGATGTTTTGTAGGTTTTACCCAAATACATTAACTTTGTCTCAACAGTAGTACATTACTTATAAGTTATATCACTATCAATATTTGCTTTAAAGTTGTATTGTATTCCCACAAATATGAAATTTATATTTAATTTAATTAACTTGCCCAATTTATGATTAATTTAAGTAATTTTCTGGGAAATAAAGCACACAACTATTTGGTTTCCATTAAATATTATAATATAATTATCATATTCTGAAAACGTTATAGTAAATACGATATCATTAATAGATACAGGGTGTCCCAGAATATGTGGGCAATCTCCCGGATTTAAATTATATTTACTTATTGACTGTTCTACAGCTACTTGTCGAGTTGATTTATGAGGATTTTCTTGTAAATCGAGCAAAACATCCAATTGTTTGTTTTTTGGAACTGGAAGATGGTTGGTTTTATAATTGTCTCTTATACGTGGCCAAAGTTTCTAAACTTTTTTTCTATCTTACTAACTACCGATCGTGTAATGGGCCTTTCCGGGTACTTGTTACTAAACATTTCGCAAACTTTACCTTGTGTTCGAGTCCTGTCGCCATATCCTACCATCATCAAAATTTCTATTCTCTGCTTCTCAGTTAAACGCGCCATTATTTCAAACCTTTTAACTGCACTTGAAAATTACTTATTTGAAGTAAAATTATCATACAGTCGACAATAAAAAGTACCAGAATTAAATAACCAATTAAAATAAACTTAAAATTAAATGTTTTGCTCGATACAAAAAAATCCTAAGAAAAACGGTATTTTATTATGTTTACTCGTAATTATCGATAACTGTTTAATTTAGGTATAGGACATAGTACATAAAACATACTTAGACTTCGATGCAAAATTTAAAAATAAAATAAAAAATAAGGGTTTCCATTTAAAAAAATGAAGGTGATGGTCGTAACTTATTTTTGGGTAATCCTGTATAAGTGAGTTTACTATTAAAAAACCGCATCTAAAAATAAAAATCGATGTGTCTGAGCGTTTTTTCAAAAAACAAATCCCTAAATTTTAAATGAATTTGTTCCAACCCACGCGTCCTCACTGTATATATATATCATCCACCAATACCGTATCAGCAAGCACAAAGATAACAACATTACATAATTCTCAAATTACCAGGAAGCGGCGATCCCACGGAGTCAGCAAAATAATATTTAGTATAAAAACAAAATGTAACACATAAATAGGATTATTATATTTTAACTAAGTTTGCTAGAACTTTAATTTATCGTAATAAATAAAAATCTTTTTTTAAGTGAATTTTAATTAAGTAAATATAACAAATTGGCGTAGTTTACGGTAGAATTAGTAACACTGTGAGAACAAGAAAAATCTCCCAGTGGAGGATTTCAATCCATTATACGAAGAACAAATCGCTCAGCTCCAACTCAGTCATTCTACGGATAGGAACACCTGGTGAAGCCCCTGGTAGAAAACTCTAGAATACGACAAGCAGCGTACCAAGAATAAATGCAGTACAGTACTGTAAGTACTATTTTAAATCATCTCGTTTTTACCCCTAATTTTTATATTTTAATGTTTATAATGGCTCTTAACACTCTTTTAACAGGTTTAGATCCGCGAATAGGTCAAATCGTTCGCGCAAGCAACCCTAAAGATTTGTTAGAAGCTCACCAACGTATATAACGGATATATCCGACGTGAACTTCAACTATTTTGAAAACCAACAAAAAA